CACTGGCACCTACTGTGTGCTTGTTCTGGGTTAGGCTCAGGGTACACAGGAGAGAGTCTGACATGGTCCCTGCGCCGTGGAGCCTATATTCCCAGGCAGAAGACAGACATGGATCAAGTAAGTTACACATTATGATTAGTATTGTGAAGTTGATAAATGGGGTGCTGAGATGGTGAACGACACGGAGGTCTGGGAAGGCCTTTCTGAGGAGGTGACATGTAAGTGGAGCCTGAAGGTTGGACTGGAGTCAGCCAGGGAGGAACAGGGACAGGGTCCAGGCCTAGGGAACAGCGTGTGCAAAAGCCCCGAGCTTGCAGTGTATGAAGAACTTAAAGATGGCTTGTAAGGTTAGAGCCCTGTGAGTGGCGTGGGGCAGAGGCTCAGTTCTCCGGGAGCTGCCCCTGACACCCCCCACCCCTGAGCCTCCTGCTCCAGCCTTAATTGTCTCAGAGGAGCTGAGCAGGGAGTTTGTGAGGGGCTCGCATTTGTGCCTTGCACGAGGGACATTAAGTGAACAGGGTCCCCCTCAGCTTTTCATGTCATTAATTGGTGACCTTCAGACTCTGAAAGAGCATCTTCCCTCTCCCATCCGATTTCATTGCCTCAGTTCAGTACACGTCAGTGCTGCACAAGTCAGCCTGCTTGGATATACTAGGAATTGTTTAAATGAGATGGGGATGTATGGGTAGTTAAAAATGCAGCCTTCTACTCTGCCCCCATTATGTATCAAATTATGTTACAATTATTCCCATAAACTTGCTGAGAAGCTCAATCGGGGAGGTTCTGGGAGCTTCAGGAGATAAGAGAAATAGGGCACAGTCGGGGTGGTGGCCCTACGGCCTCCGTGGGCTCTGAAACCCAGGCAGTGCATGTATGCACGTGTGTGAGTCTGTGTGTCCGTGTCTGTGTTACCAATTCCTTTGCCTTGTTTTGTCTGTTGGGTGTCATTGGCTCGGGCCTAGGCAGCTATGAGAGGGCAGCAAGAGGTCTTGTCCAGCCTGTGTGCCAAGGGATCTGCCAAGACGCCACCATTCCCTAGCCATGTGATTGAGGAGAAAGTCTTGTAGCCTCTTGGAGCCTCAGTTTCCTCCTCTGTAAAGTGGAGGTGATGCTGGCGGCTCTAGTCTCTAGTACTTGGCTCCTAGGGGGCTCTTAGGAAATGGGATGAGTCACCATTTTTACTGCTGTTAGCTCACCAGTTGGGTCCATCATGGTCATCAGCTTCTCTCAGGGGTGGGAACCTACCCTCCCCTCTGACTCTGACTCCCTCTGCCAAGCTGATAAGGCTCGGGGCTCAGGCCTCCGCAAGGCTGCAGCCTTCCCTGTAAGACTGACGACACTGCAGAGCACCTCCCCTGCACGGCCCTGTGCAAATACTCACTCAGTCTTGGGAGGGAGGCATGGACTCATTCAAGGTGTTTCTGCTAAAAAGTGGTAGAGTGGGATTCAGACCCAGGTGTGCCTCTGAGGCCACAGGCCCCGGGAGGTGACAGGGAGCCACTTGGTCCCCAGGCTAGTGGGGAAGTTTCCTCTGAGTGGTTTTCAGCCATTCATTTTATGCAAGGAGCCAGCCTCGGAGCTGAGGCTCTTGGGAAGGGTCTGGATTAATCGTTATTAATACCTTATTAATAATTATTAATCATCACGAGGTTACTGATGTTGCAGGGCTCCGAGCTAGGCCGCCTCCATTCCTCTTCTCCCATGACTGCCACCCACAGCCACTCCTGTTCCAGGGAACACCTGGTGGGAGGTGTTCCCATCAGAGGACCCTTCCCCTCTCTATTAGGTGGGTAAGGTTGACCAGGGCTGTCAAGGCATTTTCGGCCAAGACTGCACAGCCTGCTGAGACCTTGTTGTGGGGTAAATTGTATCCTCCCACAAAAGATGTTGGAATCCTAATCCCCAGGACCTATTTCTAAATAGCATCTTTGTAGATAATCAAGTTGAAATGAGGTCATTGGGCTAATCCGGTATGATTGTGTCCTTATAAAAGGGGGAATGTCGTTTGCAGAGTCCCAGCTCCAGCATCAAAATTGGAGTATAGAAGAAGAGGTTTTGAAACAGTAGCTTGATAACTGATACAATATAAGTCAACAAAAATTTAATGCAGATACAGGCTGCATTATTAGAAGTATAGAGCCCAGTTTGAGGGAGGTGATAGTCACCTTTTACCTTGAACTGGTCAGATCCATTGTGTTCAGGTGTGTGTACAACAATTTTAACAGACTCTAGCCCCCCCTGGAGTCCACATCGATAAGTGTCTTAACCTGGGGAGATTCAGAACCAAAGAAACATGAGGAACACATGATCAGGGGAACTAAGGCCCACGAGAAATAAGCACTGTCCTCACGTCCCTCAGGCTGCAGGTGAGAGACAGAGCCAGCTCGGTCTGGATGGTTCTGGGTGGGCAACAGTGGGCCCCAGAAAGGCAGGTTCCAGCTTTGGGATAAAGGAGATTGTTTTCCTTAAAAAAAAAAAAAACTTCCCTTTGATGGAAGAAGCAATGCCTGCTTGTTACAGAGCACTTGGAACATACGGGTTACTGGGCTGTCAGCTGGGATGCAGCATAGAGACATTATCTTTTAGAGTTCTGGGTTTAGACCCCTTCATTCTGTGAGCGGAAGGCCCTCAAAGCACTTGCAGGAGGTCTGCGCGTTCCCCGCTGGTTTCTGTCTCCAAGCCTCCCCGGATTAGACCCCTGCCCACGTGGCCCTGAGATTCAGCTTGCCTGGTGTCAGTTCCCCCTGGGCCAGGCCCTCAAGGATTCAGCTTCTAGTCCAGGTGCTTATCAAGGCATTTATCCAAAGCCAGATTCTTTCCTCAGAGGAATTCTGGCGCTAGCTCTCAAGATAATTAAATTTTTTCCACCTTGTTGCCTACAGAAAAGTTTAAAGCAGCAAATAAAAAGCATTTGTAATTATACCTCCCAAAGATAACTACTGTTAAGATTTTGGCCTTTTCCCCCCTGCACCAGTGTATTCACTTTTAAGATCATTGGGATCATGGTGAATATATAATTTTATATCTTGCTTCCCCTTACCCCCCTCACTTAACACAAGAGTGTTTTCCGAAGGCCAGTATGTGTTTTTAAATACCTTTTAACAGTAGTGGCCTAATACTCCGCTCTTCAGCTGTGTCAGCTTGTTACGAGATATTTTGCTTATAGCTGATTTTTGTTCTTTCATGACCAGCTTTCTTGTTGTTCTCTCTGTACATCAGTCTTTGTGCACATCTTTGATAATTTCCTCAGGATAGAATCTCAAAGAAGGATTGGTTCAAGTGATATATTAAGCCACCTTTTATTGTGGAAAAAATGTCAAATATACACAAGAGAACAGTATACTAGACATGCCTGTGTGATCGCATGGTTTCAACAATGACCAGCGCTCTGACGGGCTTGTTTTATCGACCCCTCCCCACTTTTTTTGTTGGAATATTCTAAAGCAAGTCCTAGATGTTGTATCATTTCCCCTGTAAAAGTTAAATTTTACTTCTCAAATAGGTAAAGTAACTCTTAAAGCATGACCAGAAGGCCATTCACACACTTAAAATAATTAACAGTAATTCCTAAGTATCATCTCATATCTGGCTGGGTCCAACTTGCCAGTGATCTCAAAAATGATTTCTTATAGCTAATAGGTTTGAATCAGGATCCATGCAAAAGGTCACATTTTACATTTGGTTGAAACATTCCATAAGTCTCTCAACCTACACCTCTTCCTCCTTTTGAAACCATGTTCTTCATGTACTGATGAATCTGCTATAAAGTGTTTTATGGTTCTTGACACGATAGAAGCCAACTTCTAGGAGGATGGTAACACTTTGCATCTCTGCCAGCCAGTAGCCCATGAGAGGGCACACATCCCGTTCTCAGCCTTGACTATCATTAAAATTTTAAAAAATCAATTTGATAGGTGAAAGATGGCACCTGATGGCAGCTTTAACTTGCATTTCTATGGTTATAAGCACGAGCGAACATTTTCCCCATTTGCATGTTAGCTGTATTTCTTCTTTTGTTAGTTATCTTCTATGACCTTTGCTCCTTTTAAACAGGGTATTGATTAGCATGCTTGAGTTTGTAACATAGAGAAATTTAAAATTTTTATGTAGCCACAGTATCTTTTCCTTTGTGAATTCTTCCATTTTTTTATGCTCAGAAAATCCTTTCCCTACCCTCAAATTCCATTCACCTACATTTTTTTCTCTCTAGTTTTCTTACTTAATTTTTACTGAGTTTTAAAATCCACCTGAGATCTCATATAGTTAGACCATTGATCGAATACTATAATCCTCATTTCTTCACTAGTTTGCAGTGTGCTTTTACCATGCTCTAATTTATTTACACACACGTATTGGTCTGTTTAAGAACTTGTGCAGTCTTCTGTTTTTCTGGGCTCCTGAGAGGTAATGAGTGTCCCATTGTGGGAGGTATGCAAGCAGGAAACTTAAGTGCAAGGTCGGGCTGGGATCTTATGCTCCTGTTTCTGGGGATTTCTGGTTTCCCTGCCCTGGGAGGACCTGTGTGCCTCTGGATCTGTGTGCATCAGCTCTGGGAAGCAGTAATGATTTCTCTCCCTCCCTTCCCCATCTACTGGTCTTCCTGCCTTCGGGACGGACCTTCAGACTCCATTTCTGTTCATATGCTTGTGATCGGGGTGCAGAGCCCAGACCTCACCAGAGAGGCCTGGCCTGAGGTACCCAAAGGACTCTTGGCTGGACTGTCCTCTGTGTACTCTGTGGACCCACATGGGGACAGGGATCTGGGCTCAGCTCTGAGGAGAAGCGGGATTTGTCCACTTTCCCAGATACCCTCTGTCCTCATGGCATTCCCCCAGCTTACCATTACAGCTAATCGTGTGACTTGCCTCTCCACTAGACTGCCAGCCCGCAAGGACAGTGGCCTCGTATTTCCATTTCTGGCACATGGAAGGCACCTCGGGGTGAAAGGAAAGAATGAATGAATGGTCCTTTGGAACTTGGAGGGGACTATGGTAGCTTCGTAAGCTGAGCCCAAACTGGAGCCCGTCATCTGACCAGAACAAATACTCTTTGGGGACCAAAGGGACAGAACACCTGAAATTGAGGTCCATCCCAGAAAATCCAGTGCAGCTGGTTGTCATCAGGAGGGCTGTCTCCTGAATCTCAGGTCCACGTGGAGCCATGAAAGTCACCCATGTTGACCCTGAGCTGACATCCGACCTTGAGAGCGGATTATTTCTCCTCTCCATGAGTACATTCCGGACAAAATGAGGTTGGGAGACATTTGCATCCAAACCACCAAGCTCTTTAAATGCTGGGGCCTGGAGGCCCGATGGGTTTATTTGGTTATCATTGTGGAAGTTAATAATTAATTTCTCTTCACATGACATCTAAAGGCAGTTATTTCAGGAGCCTGTGCCAAGTATTTGTCAAGTGTCAGAGGCAATTCCCAGGTCCCAGTCCCCCCTCAGTAATTCTGGATTAGGGACAGTCTAAAATTAACTTACACAAATTTTCTTTCAAGATGCATGGAGCTCTGGGGACCGCGCAGGAATTTCAGGTTCCTGAAGGTTATACTGTCAGCAAAAGGGCTGGGTGGGGGCAGCTGAGCTCCTGCAGCTTTCCAGCTGGGCCAGCTCCAGAGGGGGGAGAGGGGAAGCGTGAGTGGGGGCAGGGCATGGATGGCCATTAGTCTGCAGGGGCCCATTTGCCTCCTGAAAACAACTTACTGCTATTTGTATTGCAAACCTCACACCCAGCTTGATGGTTTTTCCTTGTTTTTGACTCAGGCCCAGGGAGGGGCCGTGGCCTGGTGGGGACAGCAGGACTGGCCCACGTCCCCTTGTGGCGATATATTAGGGAAGGTCAAAGAGCCATCAGTCCCTGTCTGGGAGTTAAGTGCTGGGAAGTGGGAGGCACTGCAGGGACCGACTCACTACTAACTCACTCCTAGATCCTGAGAGCAAGACACTTCAGATCCCAGAGCCGTGGGCCAGAGGTGGGAGGGGTTCCTGAGCCTGGTCTAGCCTGGGCCCCTGGAGCAGCAAGAGCTCGGACCACCAGAGGAGGGGTCTCTCTGCTGAGGAGGGCGGTGTGGCCAGGGTTGGTGTAAATCAAAGAGACCTCTGCCAGGCCTCCTGGGCTCTGTGGAAAGGTCACCCCGAGCTGTGGTTCCTGGACAGCCTTGCTCAGATACCTTTAATCTGGCTTCCAGGGAAGGCGTCAGCCTGGGCGGGGGCAGGCGGGAGTCGACTAGACAGATGGAGAGCCCAGCAACGCTGGGCATGGCCATGCCATCATCGTGCCCGCCCCAGCTGGACTTCTCACCTGCAGTGTCACCTGGTTCTGCGCACGTCTGCCTGCTCATGCCTGTGCTTCAGAGCATCCTCCATGGTGTGTAACTGAACATTTGCTTGTGTGATGGCTTCACGCCCGCCTTCCCCGCCACCAGTGAACTCGCGGGGCTGACTCCAGGTCTGCCCTGGGCGCCCGCACCTTGTGCCGAGCCTGGTGGGGTCTCCATACACATCTGCCAAGTGAATCTGGGTCGCTGGGCTTGCCTCTCCTGTCGCCCAAAGGAGGGAGTATTACAGGCTGAACTATGTCCCCCCCAACTTTATATAGTGAAGTCCTGACCTCTGGTACCTCAAACAATTAAGTTAAGATAAGGTCATGAGGTGAGCCCTCATCCAACATGACTGTTGTCCATATAAAAGGGGAGTTTGGACAGAGACACACACATACTCCGAATGCCATGTGAAGACTGGAGTCAAGGTGCCAGAAGCTAGGTGAGAGGTCTGGAACAGTCCTCCTGTGGTGCCTTCAGAGGGACCTTGGCCCTGTTCATGCTTTGATCATGGATCCTAGTGGCCAGCTCTGTGAGACCATAAGTATCTGTTGTTCAAGCCTCTCGGTCTGCGGGGCTTCATCAGGGCAGCCCTGGCCGATCATCCCGTGCTCCTCTGGGAGCCGTGCGTCCAGGACCGGCCCCTGCCTGGCTCAGGGTGGCAGGGCTGGCTGTGTGATGGAGGGAAGTAGAGAGGACTCATTCTTTGTGCCAAGCTTCCCCAAGGCCAGGTGGTCCAGGCCAAGCAGAGAGAGGCAAGGCCATAGTTCTCACTCACTTTGGGAGTCTTGATTTGCACATCAAAGGGTCTAATCCTGGCAGGCCCTTGGGCCCCAGGGGGCCCCAGTGAAGTTGCATTCTCCAGACCCCTGTAGGCCCTGCTTAGATAGATTTTGGGGGTCGGGGAGGTGGCCAGAAGGGAGCTAGGTGCATCTGAAAGGGTCCCCTTAATTCCCCTGCGTGGTGGCTGTGGTGCCTACAGACAGACATCCTGGAGCAGATTAACCTTTAACCAGGCAGCTCCAGCCTCAGCTGTGGGGCCTGGGGCTCCTCCTGGTGGGTAAGCAGGCCAGCTCTTCTGCTCTTGTCTCCGGCCAGCCGGAGTCCCTGATGAATGGTCTGCACACCCCCTGCCCTGAGCCCTGCCACCATGTTGAGTGCTGGTGTCCCCAGCCAAGAGGAATGGGCCCAACTAACAAGCTGGAGGTGGCAGCACGGTGACCCCTGACCCCACGCACTCGGAGCCAGCGGCCTGGGGAATGGCTGCTCCCAGCCTGCTTAATGTGTCGGGCTGGCCTCTGAAAGGAAAACACATTCCGTGCTATTTAGAGAAAATTGGTCTAATTGGGCTGGAAGCATTCTACTGATCGAACATGGAATTTTTATTAGGAGGGTGACTCAAGTTCAGCCACGGTATCCCAGCTGGGAGGTGGCAAGAGATTGTCTCAAGGGATTTCACCCCAAATCTCTTTCCAGCTGATATCAAATATCTAAGGAGGTCTGGGTTTGAATTCAGACTGTGCTACCCATAGCCTACATCCTGGGACCATTTGGGAGCTTCTCCCAGACCTGCTTCCTTAATGGTAAAATTAAAAAAGAAAGAAATTACAGCATCCTTGCAGACTTGTGAGGGGGAAATGAGATTAAGTGCGCATCAGGGCCATGGTATTGCCCTTAGCAGGAGACTGGATCTAGTGGGGTCTGTGTGAGCTAAGATTACATGTGGTTTCAGTTCCTTTGGCCAAATCTACTGCAACTCAGTAATAAACCAGCCAAATCTTTGTTGGCTGCAGTTGAGGTGACTCATTTGAGAGTCCGAGGTCTCATTTTTAGACCAAGGTCTGGTCCTTGAAATGTGGGGGCCACACCCCTGGTAGTCTCAGAATCACCCTCTAGCAGCTCCTCCATCTCTTGCTGCGGCCACATCTGTTTAGTATCGCCTGAATTTTCCTAAGCTTCCCTTGACCCTGTTCCTGCTACTCTGGCCTCAATGCAAACCATCATGGTCACTGATCACTCTGACCAAGGAATTGTCCTCATGTCCTCCCTGGCCTCTCATCTTGTTCTGCCCTGGTCAAGCCTCCACACTCACTCTCCAAACTGGTCACCCTCCAGAATAGCTCATCCTGAACCCCGGTGACTCCTCTGCAAAGCATCTTTCTAAAACACAAGTTAGATCCAGTCTCTCCTCAGCTTAAAACCCTTCCATGGCTCCCAGTTGCCTCCAGGGTACAGCCCTAACGTCTTAGCCTGCACACTGGGCTCATCCACAGGGTAACCACATCTGACTTACCATCTCAATCAAGACCATTTTATCCAGGACAAATAGTCAGTTGCATGGGATGCTCTGCTAACAGACATAAATCAAGACTGTCCCAGGCAAACTAGGGTGTATGGTCACGCTGTCCATCACGACCTGGTCCCCACCCCATTTCTAATTATTCACTGTGGTGCCTCCTGTGCTTCCAGCAAAGCCCCCAATACCAGCTCTCTTCACTCATCTACACCTTAGCACACGCTGTTCCCTCTGCCTGGAATGAATGCCCCCTGTCTTCGTCTTGGCTTGTGTGCTTCAAGCCCTTCTTTGATGTCATTTCTGCAGCTCTTTCTGACTCCCGTCAATCCTGAAAGCTGTTTCCTTGTGTATTAGTCATTTATTAATGCATAATGAGTACCCTGAAATGCAGGGGTTTAAAACAACCAAACACATTCTGTAACAGTTTTTGTAGATCAGGAATCTGGGACTGGGTGGTTGTGACTCAGCATCCCTCATGAGCTTGTGTCAAGGTGTTGGAAGAGGCTGGGGGCCCAGTTTTAAGCCAATTTACTCACATGATGGTGCTGACTCTGGGGCTCTGGATCTCCCCCTTACCCAGGGCTTTCCTAGCAATGGGGTTCCTTCTCTGTTGGCCCCTTAGGGATGCTGATCTGATCCAGTTAGAGCTGGGGCTTAGGGAGGAAGAAGAAATTCACAATTTCTTGGAAATAGAGCAGGTTCATTTAATAAAAGCAGGCTTATTTAAAGAAAAAAAAACACCTTTCATTTCGTATCTCACTGATTTCTATGGATACCCTTCAGGGACTCCGTATCAGAAGGCACCTCATTAGTGATTCCTTTGGGACAGACCCACTTTTAGCTACCAGGAGCCTGGACCTGCTCAGCCTCGTGGTTTGCAGCTCTAAAGGAGGACCTGAAGCTTGACAGGTGGGGGCTCTGGCCATAGGCACTGGAAGGGCCCTCACTTGGGACCTTGGGCCCCCAGGAAGCTTGAGCTGACTGTCTCAGGCATCCTCATCCTGTTCCGTGATGCTGTGTTACGAATGTGAAGGGTGTGGAAAGCTGACTGCATTTGGTCTGCTGCTGGCCACTTTTCTTGGGTGGCAGGGCTCCCTTTATTCTCTGTTACTGACCTAACACATAGCGTCCTTGATTCCTAGGTGTGAGCCATTCCACCATTCTTCCCTCCTTCTCCCCTCCCCTCTGTTCATCCATATCCATCCTCCATCCATATCCATTCAACAAATATTTCATTTTCCCTCCTGCGACTCTTCCCTTTCGTCATTCCGTTCCACCTGCACTAGCCTTCTCCTGTTCCTCCATGGCCAAGCATGTTCCTTCCTTGGGGCCCTTGCATGGGCTGTGCCTTCTGCCTGGAATGTTCTTCCCCCTGAATCTCACATGGTCAACTCCCTCACCTCCAAACTTGGCTTTACTGTCACCTGTCAACAAGTTGTTCTTCACAGCCTAATTTAATTTTGCAGACTGCCCTCTCCATCCCCGTGCTCAGCCTCCCTCGCCCGGCCCTGCCCCCCGCCGTGCTACGTTGTCCTCGCCTGGCACCCTGCTTGCTTTTTTATTATGCTCCTTCTGGAGCGTAGAATACAGATTTCATAAAGAGAGGACTCTTTATTTTGTTCACTTAAGAGCAGAATCTGTACGTCACAGATACTCATTAAACTTTATCAATAAGTGAATATTTATTTAGCACTTACTGTATACCAGACACCATAGGCATTGGACTAGGCACTAGAAATACAGCAGAAAACAAGGCAGGTGAGGCCTCTGCCTTCAGAGGGCTCCCTAGGAATCTAATGAGTGAGATGGGCAGTGAACAGAACACAGAAATAAGGATAATTACTGATCACAATCACTGGTATAAAGGAGGGAAGAGGGGAGACTGTAACGGAGAACACAGGGGAAGCCGCCTAAGTCGGGGTGTGTCAGTTTTCTGGAGCTGTTATGACAAAGTACCGCAAGCTACATGACTTGAAACAACAGAGATGTATTCTGTCGAAGTTGTAGAAGCTAGAGGTCTGAAGTCAAGGGGTCACTGCTCTCTCTGAAGGCTGGAGGGGAGAGTCTGCCTGCTCTTCCAGCTTTTGGTGGCCCCCGGCCGTCTTTGGCTTGTGGCCACGTAACTCCATGATCTTTGCATGGCATTCACCTTTCTGGGGACAGATTTTCCTCTTCTGATTAGAAGAAGTTACTGGCTGAGGGCCCGTCCTAATCCAGTATGACCCATCCTAATGTGACTGCATCTTCACAGAGCTTGTTTCCAAATAAGGTCACATTCCCAGGTCCTGGGGCTTAAACCCTGAACCTGTCTTTTCTGGGGACACAATTCAACCCACAACAGGGAGTCAGGGAAGCACTCTGACATATCAGCTGAGCGGCCAGCCAAGGAAACGGGGATTATGAGTGGAGGAAGAGATCAGATTTATGGTTACCCCTGACCCTTTCTTTTCCTTACAAGCTATTTGTTGAAGGAACGCCGTCTGGCTGGTAGAGTTTCCCGGTCTGCATTTTGCTGACTTCATCTGCAGGTACCTTCAGTGTGCGCCTCTGTCCTCTGTCCTCTGTGGAGGTGGGCAGCTGGATCCGGAGGCGGCGTCAGACCTGGGTTCAGTCCCTTTGGCCAGCTCCTCAGTGGGCTTGTGTGCTTTCACCCGGCCACACAGAATGTCAGGTGGTCCCTCTTTCTGTCTCAGCAGCTGTTGGTGCTCTTGTCAGCTCATCCCTAAGTTCACTGGGGCTGCAGGGGCAACATTCCAACGCTGTTCGTTCTTTTTCATTTATCAACTGACAAGAGACTTTTAGACAGAGACGCTTCCCCTCCTTTACTCTTTGTTGCTCAGTGATCCAGGTCGTACAGGAAAGGCAGGACCCATGCTTCATGCTTTCCCTTTAGTCACCAGTTTTCAAGAGGATGAATTGGTTCTTGTCATCCTCAGAAGGAGACCAATGAATTCTTTTTCTGTATCATTATGAACTCTGGGATTGGACATGTTTGATGGGTTGCAGTCATTTATGAGTATTATTTTTTTTGAAGCTCACCTTGTCCCATTCCATCATCCCACGCTAGTAAGAGCTTCTTCAGGGCAGTTCTTGAGTCCTTTTGATACAACCCTAGTTGTCTGTGAGAGGTCCCTTGCTTTCTGTATGACAAGATGTACCAGATTCATCTTGGACATTTTCTGCTCCAGACCTGGAATCAGCTTTTCTCCAAGGCCTTTTATTTGAAATTTTTAAAAAAAAGGGAAATGGTATTTCATGAGCGCTATCCGGGAGCTGGGGTTGCATGCACATTACTACTGTTTTGATTACAAAGAAACAGGTTTTATGACACACACCCCTCAGCCAGAAACCAGGAGGACAGCACCCTCTGCTCCTACTGATAATTCCAATTTACATTAGGATTTTTACTTAATCTCTTTTGTATCACATCTCTCCTTTCTTCCATCCTGGGAATCCCACATCCTCAAGGACAGAGGGGAGGGTAGAATTAGAATATTTCATAATTACGTATGCCTTATCCTGCATCATACACACAATGGTCTCAAAATTAGAACAGTAACACCACTATCAACATACTGGAAAGTCAGAACCACTTCTTGGTTACGCTCTCCCCCCTTGCCCGCACTTGAATAGTGCACTTGCTGGTGCCCCGTCAGAGGGTGTGGGTGTGACACACAGTGCCATCTCTTTTTGATCTCCCTTGAGTCTTAGTTGTCCCAGTAACTATATATTTAATGTTCACTACACTAAATCCTTTTTTCTCCCTCATCTTTTTAGTCCTCTTTTCCCTCGTCTTTCTAGTCATTTTGGTTGTCTGAAATTTGTTCTCTAATAGATTCCTCAGGAATAGCTTATGAGAAAACCGTTCCTTGAGTTCTTTTATATTAAGCATAGTTTGTCTGAGTCCATTTTACTTACAGATCAGTTTTGCTGGATATAAAATGATTAACCTAACATTTTTCCTTCCTCGAATGTCTTAAGTATGTGACTTCATTTTCTTCTGGCATAAGGTGTTCTTGAAAAGCCTCTTTATTCTTGCTGAGGTCTTGCTAAGCATTCTCTTCCCTCCCCCCAACCTTGATCTTTTTCATTTGAATCCCCTCTTTGTTACTCTTTCATTTCATTGTTGCTTATTCTCTGAAGCAGGATACTCAGGCTTGTCTGCCTCCCTCTGCTTCTCTTTTCACAGGGAATAGAACAGTTGGCAGAGGAGCTTTTCTCGCTCAGCAGTCAGCTAGCTCTTCCTGAGGGAAATCAGTGGGCTCCATCCTGCCAGGCCTCCACTTCAAAAGATACAGAAGATGCATTGACATCCTTGTTCTCTCCCTTTGATCTGAAGTTGAAAGCCAGGGCCACTCACTGTCCTCCCACCTACAGCGATCTCAGAGTTCCATTTCTCTCCTGCTTGTTCCTTTTTTAAAAATTCTAAGTAAAAACACTGTACATGTTAAACTAAAAAGACTCCTAGAGTACACTGACTTTTCTTTATGGCCCTCTTGACCCTGATGCCCACCCACAATTTTCCATCCCAGCTTGAAGACCTCTGGGCAGCTGCCTCTCTTGTACATCTGGCTTGTGGAAAATAAATGCTGGGCTGACACTGAGACGTCACAGTTTTGAATTTTGCCTTTTCATTCATCAGATTATGACACCTCATTCAGAAGCTGGTAAAAATACACCAGTCCACTAAGCAAGACAGGTACTATTAGGAGATACATTTTCCTGCCACGTGGATGGTAGCTGTGAAAAGTTCCTGCAGAGCAGGAGATCAATAAGGGACATCAATAATTCTTCCCCAATTACTTAGAATTGGATATTTTTCCCATTCTAAGACTGGTGAGTTTTTATATGCTCAGTAGGATAGTAGACATAGTAAATTTTTATAAAGGCATTTTTTTAAAAACCCTTTCAGCTACCTGAAGCACATTCCTATCTGCTAATAGCCTTGACACTGAAAACAAAATCAGTCATTCCATAATATATATTTTGATCTAAATGCCTTATCATTGTGAGAGACTGAAAGCAAATATGCCCCGGTAGTAAAGCAGAAGTAAAAAAAGTCGTTTAGATTTTGGCTTTGTGATCAAGTGTCATCTTTTTGCATTCTTCAGAACAGGTTATTGGGACATCACTCACTCACCTGTCATCCTCTTTTGTCCTTATTTAATTCTTTTCAGTTTTCTTCCCTTTCTTCCTCTTTTGTTTTAAATTTACTCTCCTAAAATTCATGGAACTGGGACACCAAAACCTATACATTTCAGATCTACAGAACACATTAAGTGTTGTCTAAAGTGTGTTTCTCTATGGAAATTCCCTGTTGTCTAAGGTGTGGGCATACATTTTGATCCTTCTCTAATTGTACCTCACATTGATGGGTTCTCCACAAAGCCTGGGTGTCTAAAGATAGTTACCAAGGACTGTCCGTGAGTCAGCACTCTCAAATGTAAATATAGGTAAGAACTGCTGGACTGTTACAAATGCAGTGCCCCACATCCTATCCTCAGAGACAGACCTGATACCATTACAAGTCCTTGCATGGTCTGGTTCCCATCTGCTTCTTCAGCCTCAACTTACACCATGTCCCCCGCTCACTCCTTGTTCCAGCCATATTGTCCTGCTGTACCCCCTTCTGTGTGCTACGCTCCTTCCTTTCTCAAGATCTTGGAATACACTGTTCTAGAGAAACAACATGTTAAAATATTACTTACTTAAGCTCTGATCCCACTGCCAGAATGAAAGGACCTTGAAGGCAAGAATTATGCCCTCATTACTGTTGTTGATAAATAATCATTAGCTTTCTCCATGACTTTTTAATTTGCCTACAAATAAAATTTTTAAAAATATTTGTTATCTTGGACCTCAAGAAAGAAGAAACCTACCTTGTTCCTCTAAATATAACCTTGAGTTTTGATTCACTCTGTATTGACAAGTTTCTCCAGTTTTTAGCTAATTTATACTCACTGCTGTTTAAATAGGACAAGTCTAAGGTTCGTGATTTGAATATGCTATGACATAGATTTATAAATCAGTTATCCAATATTCTACATCATTTCTTTTAGATAATAGACAAACATGTCTTACATCTTTCTTTTGCAAATTGTATTCTTATTGGAGATTTTTATCAGTCTTCTAATTCTAATTGAAAAATCAA